TGTCTCTTGCCTTTCAGTTGACTTTCTCAGTATTTTCTGTCTCAGTATTTCTTTTGTAACCATGCCCCTTGCAGTAAGTATAACAAAGGAAATAGCAAGGAGGTAGAAAAGAAGATAGGGCACCAAATATTATGTGGCTGCTCAAAGGGAGGGTTTCCAAATAATCATACTCTACTTTGTCAGAGAAAACAACCACCAAAAACATGAATTTTAGCGTTGGCGATATTAAAGTCATCATTAGTAAGTGCAATTTTACTATTGAGGAAATGAGAAACCACAATAGAGTCACTAAGGCGAAAATAACCAGTAGGAAATTTGTACTGCTGGGCTTCAGAGACAAATGCTGAGGGGGGAAATGTGCTGCTCGTGCAGCATTCCAAACTTACAGATTATTTTATTCCTTTGAAAATCGGAGTGAACTAAGTGGAGAGAACAGGATTCCGGTGAGCACAGAGGATGGATTCTGCCATCGCCTGCTACTGTAACTCCCTGCTTTCATGACTTTAATAATTCACTCCTTTGTGGAGAACTTACTGTGCCCTGCACCTTCCTAGATGTCAAGGTTACTACGATATTTTTCTTCCTTTCTGTCTCTTCAGATTTTGATGAAATGAATAAGTATTCATTTTAGGAAGTGAAGTAACTGTCCATTAAAAAAGAAGCAGGGTTTATAGGAGGATGTAGCTAAGATTAGGTGATGGGAATATATATATACACACATAGTTCCTGGATCACTACTGAAATATTATTTAACTTGCTGAGATCATATGTTTTAGGCTATACTGGATTATTTTTCCAGGAAACTTTTTTATATGATCCTCATCACATTTCACAATCAATGTCTTCAAATTATGTTTGCACCTGGTAATTAAAGGGCTCTTTCATCTGAGTTATTTATTCCAAGACCTCATATTAACACATTCTTCTTTATATGGGTTTTGATTCCTACATTTCAACACAATGATGCTTTTTTTTTTCTACTGTGTCCTGGCCACTGTGTCACCAGCCATCCTGGAGAAAGCCTGTCTTTAAAAGCAGATCATTAAGGGTAGTGCCATTTTACTTTTTTAAAAATTGTCTTTGCAAATTGATCTGTTGTAATTTAAAAGTTAAAAAAATGCTTTTTAAGCAAAAGTTACATACTTAACAGGTATTTCTTTTTCACTCTTATGGAAACAGATTTGTCATGAGTGCTTTTCCTAAGTCAAGCTCACAATGTGTTTATTTTGCCTGATTGACAGCTTCCTGGATGTTTCCTTTATTATTCCTGGATGTTTATAGTTGCTCCTTCCAAGCAAACTTGTCCAGTGAAGCCTTTTCAAATTCCTCTTTTACGCTCCCTTCTACTCTTGTTCTGTTCTCCTGTGCACAGGGGAGCCACAGTTACAGATGAGAGACCACAAATAGGCATGTATTTCCATTTTCACACCTCCACTTAAAGAACATTTCAGTGGTGACCCAGGGATTGTTTCCATGTCGTGTCTTTTAAAGGACATTGGCCCAATGGTTCCAGTGTGCTAAAGCTATTTATTTATCTCTCTGTAGTTCATCTATTGTCCCTATTTGATGATTTGTTACCTTCTGTCTTAAGGAACTGCTGCAATTTAAATTAAAAAGAAATTCTAATGATTTCCCTTAGGGGGAAAAATAATTGACCAATAATTTAAAAATATTGGAGTTATATTTTGATCTGTTAAGCAAATAGACATTATTATTAGCATGGTGGTATGTGGGCAGGCCAATAGCCATCTCAGATGGTGATTAAAGAAAATTGAATTTATTTAAGGAAAAGGGATAGGGGAGGAGTTATCCAAAGGGAAGGGCTGCATAGCACCCAACTAAGGGGATATTGGGTCAAGGATGGCAGCACCAAGGGGCTAGAGTTTCATCCTTACATGGAGCTGCTGGCTGGAAGCTCTCGTCCTCAGAGGGCCTGGGGGCTGAGTTAGTGGGCTTGGAAAGAGGATGGAGTACAGATGTGTGATCAGGTACCTTCAGGACAGTTTCAATTCCTATGATATGACTCCTGGTGTCCAGAGAGTTTTTCCTGGTCTTTTGTTCTCCTGTGGTGAGAAGCTAACAAATGGCCAATAAGGATTGTATATAATCCTACCAATTATATATATACATAGAGGCCCTGTGCATGAAATTCACGCACCAATGTGGTCCCGAGGCCTGGCCTGTGATCCAAGCGAAAGCATCTGGGGTGGAAGGGCAGGTTCCAGCTGACCTCTGGACCCTGAGCAGCACCTGGGCCCCCAGGTCCCCATGCGCCCCCCTCTACCTGAGTCACGGTGCCCGAGTCCCCATGTGGAGATGTGCTGAGTGCAGCTGGATGCAGTGGGCGGGGACACAGAATGGGCCTCTGGGACACCCAGCAGCACTGGGCGGAAGCCAGCAGGCAACACACTCTCTCCTGGCTGGCCTCGCAGACTGGCTCCTGTGCGAACTCATGGGGAGCCCAACTGGCCCTTGCGGTCCCAGAGGCTGTGACCCAGCTCACCCAGAAGAGGCCACAAGGGTGTGGGGCGGGCTCCTGGCAGGCGCCTGGCACCTGAGTGTGTGTGGGGTGGAGTATTCCCTGGCTCATGAGCCCTGGTGTCTCAGGGGAGGGTAGCAGGGGGAGTGAGAGCGAGCTCAGCAGACACCCTGCATTTTCACCACACCTCTGTCTGGGTCACCCACGCACCCAGATAACCGATGAGAGGCCACGGTGCATCACTGATGCCCACCATGTTCAGCGCCGCCCTCTGGTGGTCAGCGCAGGTCATAGAGAGCAGTCAAACTTCTGGTCTCAGGGTGGAACTCCTGGTCATATGACTGCCCCAGGGGACAATTTGCATATTAGGCTTTTATTTTATAGGATCATTTTAATGAAAAATAACAGGATGATTTAAAATATGTTTTCCTTAAGAACGTTCCAGCGCAGATGTTTCCAAATGAGTTTTAAAGGCGGAAATGACAGTGCTCTGTGAATAAAAATCAAAAATAAATTTCAGAATCAGGAGGCCTACTCGCTGCAAGCCCTCGTTCCCCAGGACTTGGGATTATACATTGGGCAGACTAATAGCCTGCTGATTTCGACCTCAGTGAGTGACAGGAGACCCATGGTGACAAAAGATCTAAAAATACATCAGGCTTTGGCCATTAAAAGCCTTATCAGCAAGTAACAAAAATCAACAGAGCTTTAGGATTGCCAGTGCAGGGATTTTAAAAGGCTCCCATAAAGGGAATATTACTAAACATCCTGATAATCTGTTGACATACAACGCAGGCTGCCTCTGTCACCACTTT